TGGAAGCGGTGATAAGTTCATACATCAGGAAATGGTTGGGAGTTCCACGCTGCCTCAGCAGAGTGGGACTTTATAGTAAAGGAATATTGCAGCTGCCAGTCTCTGCTTTAATCGAGGAGTTTAAGTGTGCCAAGGTCAGACTGGAAATGACCTTAGTAGAGTCACGCGACAAATGTGTAAGGGACGCAGCCCCTGTGTTAAAAACTGGTAGAAAGTGGTCCGCAAAGAAATCTGTAGTAGAGGCAAAGGCTGCCCTTCAAATTGGGGATATCGTGGGACAGGTACAGCATGGAAGAGGGGGTTTTGGGCTCTGTTTAGCTCCTCCTAAATGGCACAAGGCAGGCCCAGCTCAAAGGAGGAAGCTGGTAGTCAACGAGGTGCGAAAGCAGGAGGAGAGGATGAGGTGTATAAAGGCCATTTCCCAGGCCAAGCAGGGAGAGTGGATGAGATGGGAGAGTGTGGAACAACGCAAGATGGGCTGGCAAGACCTTTGGTCAATGGAAGAGAGTAGGATCAGTTTCCTTATTAGGTCAACATATGATGTTCTCCCATCACCGCAGAACCTAAACCTCTGGGTAGGAGAGGATCCCTCTTGTCCTTTGTGTTTATCACCTGCCACATTAAGGCACATTTTGACAGGATGTAAGGTGGCTCTTAGCCAAGGTCGGTTTACTTGGCGCCATGACCAAGTACTGCGATGTTTGGCTTTAGCATTGGAAGGCAAGCGTAGTATGACCAATAAGTTGCCGCCTGTTCTAGCAAAACATTACACGCAGAAGACAATATTCCTCCGCCCAGGCGAGCAACCACCAAGAAAAGGTGTTAACACCAATTCTCGACCAGGACAACTGGAAGCTGCTAGGGACTGGAAGATGCTGGCTGATCTTGATCAACGGCTTATTTTTCCACCTGAGATTGCCACCACTAACCTACGACCAGATATTGTTTTGTGGTCCGGATCAGCACGCATTGTTAAACTGATAGAGTTAACAGTGCCATGGGAGGATGCGGTAGATGAGGCATATGAGAGGAAGAAACTGCGGTATGCTCATCTGGCCACTGAAGCAGAACAGCGAGGATGGAGAGTCCAGGTTTATCCAGTGGAGGTGGGTTGCCGAGGTTTTGTGGCACACTCTACAACCCGGTTCCTCAGAGACGTCGGATTCAGTGGCCAAGAGTTGCGTCGCACAGTAAAGAACTTATCTGAAGCAGCAGAAAGGAGCAGCACTGGCTGTGGTTGAGACGGAAAGATTCTAGCTGGCTGTGTACAGGCCGCCACGCTACGGTTTCGTAGAATTCTTGAAAGCTTGAAGAGTCTGTTGGTTTATTTGTATACGTTCCTGTGGATATTGCGTGAATGACGGGTGGTTGGGCAGATATTGTGTTTTGCTGTAGGTGGTATGCCATACGGAACCGTTGCCACTGAAACTGCATATTAACGCACCAGTGGGGCTCGACAGTCTTAGTCAAACGGGTTGGCGCGTATGGTTGGGTTGCGGAGAGATTGTGAGATTGTGGTTAGGTCTCAGCAGCAGGAGGGATGTAGAGGTCAGTAAGCTGGGCTGAGTTGAGTGGGGGACGGAGGGGGGTGACTCTGGGACGCCAGAGTCACTGTCGAGCCCTCTTGAGGTGTCGTGGGCTAGTCGACGAAACACTGAGGACGGAAGGTGCCCACTTGAAGACCCTAGAGATGTCCCCTACTCGGCTCAATCCAGACGGTTGTCGTGCTGGTCCACTAGGGAGACCACACTGTAAGTTGCAGCCGTCGTGTGTGCTGACGCGCCAAGTACACTGCAGCCGTTAACGCCGGACAGAAGGGGAGTCACACCACCATATGGAAAGAAGCGTAAATGGATGGAGAAGCATAGTTTACTGTAAAGCTAGTTTTGCTTATCTTGGCGAAAGCCGAGTACAAATCAGCATGAAGTTTTAACATCTACTCTCGTGTAATGGAAATCTTGCACACTTAGGAGTTCCTTTGTCTTCTACATTTGGCAAATAAATTAAAAAAATATATCTGTGGTATTTGTTAGTAATTTTGCTGGCTTTAAGTTTATGAACATACCAGACTCAAAAATGCACCTTTAAGTTTATAGAACAGATAATATTAGATGGCCACCCTGCCTGCATGGAAGTCCTATTACCAGTTTTGTGACTCATAACTATACCAAATTAGGAACAAAGCAAAACATGAACTTGGATTCAACAACCAGAATTTTATTAAACTGAATTAGATTAAGTACACTTTCTGCTTGAACTTACACTGTTTTTCCGTCCATGTTACATACGTAAAATTTTACATCAACTCAACTTTGATCAAAGTTTACTAGTTTACCATTGCCAGATTTATCCTGCCTTTCACACAGCTGTAGCCCAGGTTTTCTCAGGATGTTAACCTGAGGACAATGGCTTTCTCCATGAAGATTGATTTTGCAGGCTGTTGTCGTTAGGCCTAAACTGTGGAATCGCCCAGTAATATTTTCAAAACCACTAAGAAATCTAGTTTTAAATATACTTCTTTTGAAGTGTTGGTGCTTAATGTAAAAATGTATAGTGTAAACGATAAATCACGTATGAGAATTCTGCTGGCTACTGTATAAATGCCACCAGGGCACCATAAAGATTTTATCAAAGAATTTGCTGACTTTCTATCAGATTTAGTATTGGCTGCAGATAAAGTACTAATTGTTGGTGATTTTAATATACATGTAGATAATGAAAAAGATGCATTGGGATTGGCATTTAAAGACATTGTAAACTCTATTGGAGTTAGACAACACGTGTCAGGACCTACTCATTGTCGTAATCATACTCTAGATCTGAAATTCTGCAGCAGAGCGATGACATCTCAGATCATTATCTAGTCTCATGTAAACTTCATTTAGCCAAGGCTGCAAAGCCGACTCCGTGTTATAAATATGTTAGACCTATAACCGCAACTGGAAGAAAACCAAACTAGAGGTATTTCGCATTTCATGGAAGGAGAGCTCGATTGCTTACAGAGAGGCTTTAAAAGCTGCTAGATCTGCTTATTTTTCAACCATATTAGAAGAAAATAAACATAATCCTAGGTATTTATTTGAAACAGTGGCTAAACTAACGAAAAAGAAAGCTTCAAGCCCAGAAATGTCCAAGCAACACAGCAGTAATGACTTTATGAACTTCTTCACTTATAAGATTGATAATATCAGGGACAAAATTATAACTATGCAACCGTCTACAGTATCGCATCAGGGAGTGCATTGTAGTCTCCCTGAGGAAAAATTTTACTCATTGGTTGCTATAGGAGAGGAAGAATTGTCTAAACTTGTTAATTCATCTAAATCGACAACTTGTATGTTAGACCCTATACCGACTAAGCTACTGAAAGAGATGCTTCCAGATGTCATAGATCCTCTTCTTAATATCATTAATTCGTCTTTGTCTCTAGGATACGTACCAAAAACCTTTAAGCTGGCTATGATAAAACCGCTTGTTAAAAAAACGCAACTTGATCATACAAAATTAGTCAATTACAGGCCGATCTCGAATCTGCCTTTTCTGTCAAAGATATTAGAAAAAGCAGTATCCTCACAACTGTGTTCCTTTCTTGAAAGAAATGATATCTGCGAGGATTTTCAGTCCGGATTTAGACCGTATCATAGCACTGAGACCGCTCTCATTAGAGTTACAAAAAAAAAAAAAAAAAAAAAAAAAGTGCTTCGCCTGTGCTTCCCCCTAATATAGTCCCAAGTCAATATCTGCCTAGGAAATCGCCTAGTGTTAATCTGCATCGCTATTTGTACTCATACTCGTTGTGAATACGCAGGCCACAAGAAGTAATTACGTGTTTTTTTTTGTTGTTTTTTTATTACTTTTACTCAGGACATGCTAGCTGGCAACAAAGGATTCCATTCATTGTGCTAAGCTAAGCTAACGCCGACCCTGTCAAACTAAAACAATGCATGCACTGAGACAAAAATGCATTTGCACACCTATCTAAATGTAGGAAAGAATGTGAATAAGCCCATTTCAAAAAACGGTGGAGTGTTCCTTTAAATCCTGATATACTCATTACATCATAAGAAGAATGGCATCTACGCTAATTTTAGTGTCTTTGTTTATCCCGACATTTTCACGTTTAAAGTCTGTTTAGAGAGAACGGCGTCGTCTTAGCGGCCCCTAATTTAATGACAAATGATCACTTTGACGGAGGTGAATCAATCAAAACTAACTTTAGCTGGAAATAACATTATTCAAGTATCGCTATAAAGCCAAAACAATCCCTGTTACCTTAAATTATATGTTTGTCTCTGTAAAGCTGCTTTGAAACAATCCATTGTTAAAGGCGCTATATAAATGAAGATGACTTGACTTGTTTTTTTAAAACATTATAGGCACAAATCCCATGTTTCTGTAGTGAGAACTATTAAATTTGTTTGATCTATGACAATTATCTAACATGATATGAACATTAAAATACACAATACTGCCATATTTTAACACCAACTTTTAGATTGATATTTAATTATGTTAAAAACTACTAAAACGTTTTAATTAAGGGCCGTTCACACTGAACTTCTTGCGTTGACTTCACATGCATGTGAAAGTGGGACACAAGAAACACAAGATCAAGTGAATTTCACTGCAAGAAAGAACACAAATGTTTGCAGTAAAGCAGAATAGATTGTATAATTTTACATTTTGGAATTAATTTTATTTGTTATACATGTTTGTAAAAATACGCACAAAATTAAGGTACAAATTCTGGTAAAATTGTTACAAATTGTAAACCATATATCAAATAAATGTACAATAAAGCAGGTTAAAATATTTAGATTTAGTTTGACCTGATGTTGACAATATGAAACCTCCCTTTACTGACCATTTGTTTAAAAAAAAAACAGAACATTCTGTAGCATTTCATAGTTGAACTGTTTATCTAAATGTGATGAAGTGCTTGAATGTTTCTAACATGAATGTTCTTCAGCATCATGAATGAATGAAGAATAAACACCAACCTCTTTGTTCTTCAGGATCTTCAGTGTGTTTCATTCTGCAGGTTCTGGATCACTCGTGTTCTCACTGTCCTCTTTAATAAACTCAGTCTTGGCAGATTTCAGCTCTTCCTGAAGCTTTCATGCTCGTCTTCACTTGCAGTGGATGGGAATTTACAGCATTTATTGGGGAATTATTGTGGGAGGAGCTTTGCTGGTGATGTGATTACAGTGGGAGGAGCTTCACTGATGATGTGATTGTAGTGGGAGGAGCTTCACTGATGATGTAATTGCAGTGGGAGGAGCTTCACTGATGATGTATTCAGAGGAGCTGATCTGCAAAAATAAAAAATACCGAGTTTGTTTTTATAATAAATGAAACTTTTAAGCATTTATGTCATTCATCGTACAGTAACTAATGGCAATTCATTCATTATTTGTATTGCTAATCCTAACATTATTCTGCTTCTTCATTAAAATACAGGCATCTAGAAATATAGAAAAGAATATAAATAATTTACATTTTTAAAAATATAAATAATGGTAAGAAAAACAGTTAAAATCATAAACAGAAATAAACGTGTACAGTAGCCAACAAATCCCCTCAGTCTGCTGACACCAATGAAATGAGCTTTAAGTGACAATTTACAGGAGATCTGAAGACATCAGCATAATAAATGAGGAGAAAACAGGAACTATTGTCATGAACTAAAGAGTGTTTTCAGCAGATCTGTTAATATTGATGAGCCTCAGACTATCAACATGCATTCAACAAGCCATTCGGGATCATCAGCAGATCATCTCACTTTATTCTGAGCGTTTGCTGTTAGAAACACATTATTTGAGTCAGGATATAAAAGCCTATACAACTACTGCTATACTGAAAGTCAATACTGTTATTTCTCACAATATGACATGGATAAAACATCAATAACACAAAAACAATCACTAATGACACTTATCTTCATAAACCACGACAGATAAATAATTACAGCAGGATAATATGACCAAATTAATCTAAATATAGCTAGTTTGATCTTATGATAACTACATTAATCACTAAAAAGTAGTTGGATTAACAGAAAATGTATTATCATAAAACTTAAATATATATATATATATATATATATATATATATATATATATATAAAGACCACCATAAAAAAGACCACCACAAACAAAACACTATTGTTCCAAGAGTAAAACGCTATTGGTATTTATTGGTATTGATTAATGTCTCACGCCTAAATGTAAAGCATTTAGCACTATCTGTTCCAGTATGACACATTGAGATCGAATCCCATTCATTCCCCTCACAGATCTTAAACTTTGACTTTTGACTTGAAACAATCACACAAATGCACTCAAAATCTCTCAGGACTGAATGAACTCCACATATTCTCCTCAGGCTCGCTGCTGTTGCACTAAATGTTTATTTCAGAAGGAAGACGCCAGAAAAGACACACAAGTATCGCTGTGATCGATGAAAACAATACAGAAATGAGTCTGTCGCTTAATCAAACTGTATAAAGTGTGTTTGGTGGTTGTGTAAAGATGAGAAATACCGTGAACTGCTCTCCTCGCCTCAGAAGACTCGACGTTGAGAGAAAGACGCGCGAGCGAGCGGTGACGTCATCGGCCGCCAACGGTAGAAGATCAGAGACGCCCCTATGGCAAGCCGGTTTAGCATTAAACCCCTGGCTGTACTAGTCGTAATTTATTTTTGACTAGTCAAACTTCAAATTTCAGATATTTTAATTCTAATTTTGACTCGTTGTAAATGGAATTAATATACAATGTGATTATGACTAGTCATCCCATACAAAAATGTAATATATGGCCATAAATGTACTTATATTTTAAATAGCATGACATATATACATACAGGTCCTTCTAAAAAAATTAGCATATTGTGATAAAGTTAATTATTTTCCATAATGTAATGATAAAAATTAAACTTTCATATATTTTAGATTCATTGCACACCAACTGAAATATTTCAGGTCTTTTATTGTTTTAATACTGATGATTTTGGCATACAGCTCATGAAAACCCAAAATTCCTGTCTCAAAAAATTAGCATATCATGAAAAGGGTCTCTAAACAAGCTATTAACCTAATCATCTGAATCAACTAATTAATTCTAAACACCTGCAAAAGATTCCTGAGGCTTTTAAAAACTCCCAGCCTGTTTCATTACTCAAAACCGCAATCATGGGTAAGACTGCCGACCTGACTGCTGTCCAGAACCCCTTTTCCACCAACAAGAACCAGGTGCTGGTTCAGAGCCAGAGCTGGTTCGGAGTTGGTTCGACTGACAAGCTTACTAAGAACCGGTTTGCCTTTCCATCGGCTAGAGAGCCACAACAGAGCCAGATCTTACGTCACTGCATACGTCTCATGTTGCCCAGCAACGCTAGTGCGGTAGCGCCAAACACAAACACGCCAGGCTTGTTTGAGATGCATCGGCTTCTCGCAGATCGATCGCCGCATGACATCAAAGCACTGCGAAAGCGATCCAAAAGCACAAGGAGTCGTATGATCTCCAAACACTCCCGCAGCTCCGATCGGTCCGCGCCGCTCCGATGCATCTCGAACAAGCCATCAACAATAACGGACGATGCGTTACTATGGAGGCTCATGGGTTTGCAAAAATACATCGGAATCCAACGCGTTTGTGCAGCTCGCCTTAACTTACATAGACGGATATTATAATCAAGCTGCTATTAGCTCGACTAGCTGCTATTTAAAAATGGCGGTCACAAGTTTCTATTCGTCTTGTTGGTCACGGTAACCCCGCCCCCAGCCCCTGACGCAAGCGGTTCTTACTTGGCTCTGTTCTAGACCAGCAATGATTGACACCCTCAAGCAAGAGGGTAAGACAGAAAGAAATTTCTGAACAAATAGGCTGTTCCCAGAGTGCTGTATCAAGGCACCTCAGTGGGAAGTCTGTGGGAAGGAAAAAGTGTGGCAAAAAAACGCTGCACAACGAGAAGAGGTGACCGGACCCTGAGGAAGATTGTGGAGAAGGACCGATTCCAGAGCTTGGGGGACCTGCGGAAGCAGTGGACTGAGTCTGGAGTAGAAACATCCAGAGCCACCGTGCACAGGCGTGTGCAGGACATGGGCTACAGGTGCCGCATTCCCCAGGTCAAGCCACTTTTGAACCAGAAACAGCGGCAGAAGCGCCTGACCTGGGCCACAGAGAAGCAGCACTGGACTGTTGCTCAGTTTTGCATGTCATTCGGAAATCAAGGTGCCAGAGTCTGGAGGAAAACTGGGGAGAAGGAAATGCCAAAATGCCTGAAGTCCAGTGTCAAGTACCCACAGTCAGTGATGGTCTGGGGTGCCATGTCAGCTGCTGGTGTTGGTGCACTGTGTTTTATCAAGGGCAGGGTCAATGCAGCTAGCTATCAGGAGATTTTGGAGCACTTCATGCTTCCATCTGCTGAAAAGCTTTATGGAGATGAAGATTTAATTTTTCAGCACGACCTGGCACCTGCTCACAGTGCCAAAAGCACTGGTAAATGGTTTACTGACCATGGTATTACTGTGCTCAATTGGCCTGCCAACTCTCCTGACCTGAACCCCATAGAGAATCTGTGGGATATTGTGAAGAGAAAGTTGAGATACGCAAGACCCAACACTCTGGATGAGCTTAAGGCCGCTATCGAAGCATCCTGGGCCTCCATAACACCTCAGCAGTGCCACAGGCTGATTGCCTCCATGCCACGCCGCATTGAAGCAGTCATTTCTGCAAAAGGATTCCCGACCAAGTATTGACTATTGAGTGCATAACTGAACATAATTATTTGAAGGTTGACTTTTTTTTTTGTATTAAAAACACTTCTTTTATTGGTCGGATGAAATATGCTAATTTTTTGAGACAGGAATTTTGGGTTTTCATGAGCTGTATGCCAAAATCATCAGTATTAAAACAATAAAAGACCTGAAATATTTCAGTTGGTGTGCAATTAATCTAAAATATATGAAAGTTAAATTTTTATCATTACATTATGGAAAATAATTAACTTTATCACAATATGCTAATTTTTTGAGAAGGACCTGTATATTTGACTTATCTGAGAACACAATATATGCCTGCAACATATATGGACATTTATGTGTCCAAACATGGGAAGAAAATATTTGAGTTCATCCATATATGATACCATATAGCTGCATATTACAGTATAGTATTGGTTTCCCGCATATATGGACAACATTAAGTATAAATATGTGAAATACATGTTTGTTTTCCACATATTTAATAAATGTATGTAAACACACATGCATGTGATACTGATGCATTTGTAAAGCTGTGGCATATGGTTATGGTACTTTGTGGATGTATTTGTCAAAAATGACAAAGAAAACACTGCATTATTGTATTAAAAATACTATATTTTGTATTCGCACAATACAGACACAAAATCTCCAACTATAGGCATTTAATTACAAGGTATTCAGATACTCTCAGAAAAAAAGGTACAAATAATGTTCCTCAAAGAACAGTTTTGTACCTTTTCAATAAGGCCCTGTCCCAATACCTCCCCTTACCCTAGATTTCTGCCCTAACCCTTGTTTTTGCACGTTCTCGTGTCTATTGGTGTCCCAATACTCCAAAGAGCAAGGGGGAGTGCTATTCTCCCCTTAAAATCAACCCTCAAAACATAGTGCGGTCCAATGCAGGCTTAAAACGAAGTGGAAGATGAAATTACCCAGGATACCTTGCGGACTCAGCGAGCCAAACGTTTTTAAACAAGATGGAAAGGAACAATTGAATTGTAGGTATATTTTCACAAATTTAAGCATGTTAAAATGTCTAAATATGTTGGAATATGTTAGTTTGATGCACATCCAATGGACTGTTAAGTTAAGTTTTGAACACTAATGTTAGAAAATATTTCACAAAGCTATCTATATGACGATGTTCATGATATCTGCCGAGTGCTTCGACAGAGTCTGCCCATCAAATATACATCTGATCTGGGTAGTTCATCTCATTTTATTTTCGATTTTGGCTACCAAGGATTATGAAAAGAAGATGTGAGGTAAAACTATTAAAAACTACCCACGTTCATCTAACGTTAGTGCTTCATCTTTTTCTTCGCAGCGCGCTGTCACTTCTCC